TCTCCGTCTGGGAAAAAACAAACCGCATCCACATTAAACAGTTAAGTTGGTATAAGAGCAATTTAGATCTGATTAAGAGAGTTTTTTTTTTTCTTTTTTCCGAAATAAATTGAAGTTTCCTAATCACAAAAGACTTATATCTGGTGCCTCTGTGGACAACATTTCTGATCGTTTCTTCTGACACATGGAAATTTTTCGTAATTGGCACAATGGATTTTCTGTTATTGTCATCAATCGTCTGCTGAACATGTTGAATGATGTCAGATTTTCTGAGGAAGTCAGAGTGTTTGGAATGCTTTTACGCTTTGATACTGATGATACGTTTCCATCTTCGGTCTACAACTAATTACGAAATTTGTAAACGAAAAATTCGCGTCTTTTAAAAATCGACATATCTCTAAATTGCTATGCTCAGATTTAATGGTCTTTTATTTAATTCAGGCATTTTATGTTTGATAGAGAAAAAAACATCATTGAAGGTAACATCATATAAACGACCAAATTTAAATGTATGTCTGTATTTTTTAACACACTTCTATATACGGTGCCTAATGGAGAAAATTAAATAATGTTGGCTACTTCTATTCAATTACAAGAATATGAAGTATTTGGTGAATACATTGCTTCATAAAATGTTGGTTTCGTCGTCCATAAATAGTCTTATATTAGTAATAATTGGTTTATTTATCATATGTTCATCTATATATGCACGTTGACAAGGAACAGTAGTTCTGGAGGTTGCCTTAGACCGCGTCAATTCAATCTATCAACATCACGTTTCACTGTTCTGTCACGGAAAGAGAGGATGGTTTATGCCTAAACACGTGTATCGTCTTTCGACGGATGTTTAACGCCTCTCGGCAATGACAACACTGAAGGCAAATGGTTTATTCGCCAACAGTTTTATCGACAGTCAAAGAAGGTAAAACTGAAAGACGAAAAGGCAAAGAAAAAAAAGTACAGCAAGTAAAATAGCCTAGTCTTAAGGCTTAGTCCAAGATGCAATGGCAATAAACAAAGATAGCAGGTGGCCGGGGGTCTTTTTCCAGGTAGAACGTACTTGCGCAATCGCAGTCGTAAACATAATTTAGTACAGTCGGGTTGATGTGTAGCATATAGAGAGTTCGATAATAAAAGAAGACATGTTAAGAGAGGAAAATAATATACAAATAGTGTAAGATACTGAACTTGAGAAGAGGTACGCTGTATAAAAGGTTGTTCCGAACACGACATGTGTTACGCGGTGGGTGCATAATAATACGCATAGATACTTATTAAATTTAATAAAATGTGAGAACGACAAAATGTAAGATAATTAAGGTGGTTCAATGTTAGATGAAGGATAAATCAAGTGCCTTACCGCGATATGTCCAAAATATAAGAAATATATGAAATAATTTGTACTATTATGCATAGCGAGTAAGCATGAAAGCAATTAAGACCCAATTCTCAATTTCAGATTGATATTTAGTATTTTTTCAGTAATTATAGCAAATTGCAGTGCCAAGAGATTATTCGCAAGAACTAGAATTTAGTATTATGGCCCGTAAAAAGAACAATGAATGAAATG